GAGAATTGTGGTACATTGATAGTAAAATACATTAAGATTTTTGATTTAAAATGTACAATTCAATATGAATGAAGTATAAGTAATGATTGTGGAAGAAACGAACGAAATGTATTTGTAACCAATCGACACGCTTTCCACAAGGTGTAATGAAGGATGATTCTTTTTTTGTGTGTGTGTTTTTGTTCATTTAAAACAATAAAAAAACCTTTTTTTAAAAAAAGGATGCAAATGACCAGCTGTTGTGCAAGGAAGATAAATCCTTCCATTTCCCGCCATCCAGGCAGAGCTGAAGAAGGTTCTTGGATGAGAAGTGAAGCATCTTCAAGGAAAAATGGAGAAATGGTAGAGAAGAAGGAAGGGAGGGAATAGGAGCAGGAGGAAGAGAAATGGTGATGGAGGAAGAAGAAGAAGAGAAGAAGGAAAGGGGGAAGGAGAAATGGTGGCAGGGAAGGAGGAAGGAAGGGGAGGAGCAAGGGGAGGAGAAATGGAGGGAGGAAGAGAAGGGGAAGGAAAGGGGAAGGAGAAATGGGAGAAAGAAGGAAGAAAGGGAGGAGGGGGAAGAGAAATGGTGATAGGAAGAAGAATATGAGAAAGAGAAGGAAAGGGAGAAGGAGAAATGGTGGCAGAGAAGAAGGAAGGCGGGAGGGAGGCTGGGAGAAGCAGCAGGAGGAGGAAGAAGAGGAGAAAAAGGAGGACTGTAAGGTCCTTGGTGATCTCTGAGCTCGATTGTTTTCTTGCAGGCAACCAACTTATGAAACTTGCAGACGTTTCATAACCCAACTAGGTAACATCATCAGCGCAAATGGGAGAGGAGTTTGTGGAGAGCAGGAGGGGAAGTGGTGGTGGAGTGAGAGAAGGGAAAGAAGAAGGAGGAAGAGAAGGAGGAGGAGATGATACCCCGCCACTGTCCTCACCACCATCCTAGTAACGGAGTTGAGCTGAACTCAAGACAGGCCTTTTCCTGGCACGCCGAGCCAATCCTTTGCTCCTTTGTGGAGAACAGTGTTTCTCAACGTTGGCAACTTGAAGATGTCCGGACTTCAACTCCCAGAATTCCCCAGCCAGCATTCGCTGGCTGGGGAATTCTGGAAGTTGAAGTCCGGACATCTTNTCTTTGATTGGTTGAGAGGACAGGCCCCTGCATGAGGCAATCTGTGCTGTGATTGGTTGCTGTGGATCTGAAGGGGGCGTTTCCCTTTTTTCCCCTGCCTTTTTCTGATGTGTGCTCTGTATGCTGTTTATCTCAATTGATTTACCTCAGGATGATTTACCTGAGAAAGATTTACCTCAGGATAAGTTACCTCACGACTATCTTGGCTGCTGATAATTAACCTTGCCCAAGACTTATATTGGTGGCTGCATCTTCTAAACTTTTCTCCAATGGGGTTAAATGCGTTGTGTGAACGTATTTAGCCCTCAATTTGCAACTATTAGTTTCGCAACCGTTTGAAGATACAATGGCACTGAAAATAGTGTTTGATGACCTTTTTTTCCATACTTAGAAACCATTGGAGCATTGCTGCAGTCACGTCATCGAAATTCAAATGCTTGTCAACTGACTCATAGTTGTGACGGTTGCAATGTCCTGGGGCCCCATGACATCAGACGAGCAAAGTCAGTAGGGAAGCCAGATTCATTTAACAACCATGTTACTAATTTAATAACTGCAGGGATTCCCTTAAGAACTGTAGCAAGAAAGGTCGTCAATTGGAGCAAATTTCTTAATAACTTCCTCACTTAGCAACATAAATCTTGGGCTCAGTTGTGGTTATAAGTCGAGGACTACCTCGACTTAAAGGCTTGTGCTACCTGTATAAAAAGTAATAAAGGCAGGATAAAGAAATAAACAGCCTATTTCTACAGGTTTTCAATCAGAATAGAGCTGGAAGGGACCTTAGAGGTCTTCTAGTCCAACCCCCTATTCAAACAGGAGAACATAAACTATCTCAGCAAGTGGCTGTCCAGTCACTTCTTAAAAACCTCCAGGGATCAAAACAGGGGCTAACATCGCAACGACACGACGTGCAATCTTGGAGCTCCGAGATCACAGTCGATACTTTTGCCGCTGGACGGTCCTTTTGGACCTAAACCATCCCGAAGAAATGGTGGCAAAGAAGAGAACGTATTACTGATCTCAGGGACACCGCAAAGTCCCTGATTGATCCAAGAGAATCTCTTCTTGCCGGCGACAGAGGCGCAGCCAAAAGCTGCTGAAGTTGGAACAGCTCCGGAACGGGAGGAAAGTGGAAAGAGAAAGTGTGTCCATCTGGTGAGGAAATCTTATTGTTATAAAAGAGACTGCCCCTCCCCTCCAAAAAATTAAAGCTAAATTAAATTTGAAAACAGAAGAAAATAAGCAGCGAAATTAAGCTACATTGGACAGTGTGTTATCTTTTTTAAAAATTTTCTTTTATGGATGGAATTTTTGCAAATATTTCCTGTTTTTTAAAATGAACAAATTAGTTTTTCTCCTTCTACTTCTTTTTTTTACCTATGGATTAAAATCTTTTTCTTTATTTTTATAATACTGGTTTGGATGCGTTTTTTTTTCTATTTTGTTTCACTTAAGAATTTTGTTTCTTTTAAGTCTGGAAT